CGCGCACCGCCCGAACCCCGCCGGGCGCAGACTCGGGGCCTCGTCCGGGAGCAGCCATGGCCACCATCAACGGGGAGGTGGAAAACGGGCAGCCGGACCAGAAGCCCGCCCTGCCGCGCCCCGTCCGCGACCTGGAGGTCAAGTTCACCAAGGTGAGGGTGCCCCTACCGGGCGACGGTCGGGGGCCGGGGCCAGCAGGGAGCGGCCCGCGACCCCGCGCTCCCCAGCCCGGAGCGTCTCCGCCTGGGCCGGGCACCCCCAATTCTTGCTCTTTGAGAGGCGTCCCAGGTGGGAACCCGCGCCTCGGGGGGGCTCGAAGCCAAGCGGAGCCGGCGGTGCAGCCCCGCGCGCCCCGACGTGTGCCCGCCCGGCCCGAGGAGACGCGCGCTGCGGTGACTCGCGGCGCGGCGCTCTGCCCAGTCCCTGGGCCGCTTACAAGGCTGAAGAAGTCGGGCGTTGGGGGCGGTCGGGGTGCCCGAGATAACCGAGACGAGCTCCGGAGTGCAGGCCGCTTCGGGGAGCTGCGAGTGGGAAGCGCGTCCCCAGGGCCGCTGAGAGAAGCATCTGTCACCTTCCGTGCTAAGCTGGACCCCGTTTGCCCGCAGAGCTAGGGGGAGCAGGAAGGAGCTCACCGTTGAAACCCCCTGGTGTTTACAGACCAAGAATGCGTCCCCCAAAGGTTCCAGGTCCGGACATGAGGAAGCCGCGGGTCCCGGCCAGAGCCTCTGGGCAGTAGGGCTGCTGAGGCGCGGCTGGGCTGCTTGTCCTGCTTCCCCGGGAAGCTGGAACGCCGGCCGCGGAGAGACCACCTGCCTGGGCAGAAGGGAAAATGGCGATGCCCGGGAGCAGGGTTAAGGAGGCGTCAGAGAGAGGACACCCGGGTGCCGGGATCACCGCTCTGGGTAGCCCAGCTGGAGACGGGGCTCTTCAGGGTTCAGGCCTGGGCCAGCCTTCACCTCGCTTCTCCAACCTTGGCGCCCCTTATTTTTGCATCTTATCCATAGCTTCCAACTCCAGCTGATGCAGGGCTTAGAAAATTCTCTTGTCAATTTTACTGTCAAAAGTGGCAATCATTTCTCTCAAATAATTTTACTCAAGCGGAGAAAGTGGCAGACCACGATGTGTGGCCGTCAGAATTTGATCTTTTGGCACCTAATCCCCAAAGTTGGCTGTGCGGACACTTAAATTACGTGACATTTAAATTAACTGTTTTCAGAGGGCTCTAATCAACAGAGGCGCGTCAGGGCTAAAGGCTGGAAATTGTTTTTAATGTCGTTTCCTTAATAGTATCGGCTTCCGAGGGGAAAATTCCAGCACAAATTCTGGGAACAGTGAGAATAGGGCCTTCATTTTTTTCCCCAGATCCTAGCACTGTGATATTCAGTTGCTATTGTTTTTGGTGGTGGTACTTTGTTTTGTTTTTAGACTTTTATAAAATTGCATAGAAACCAGAAAGTAAAGATACGGCTGCCCCTTTACTTTCTACCTTATTGAGTCCTATCAGAGCCAGCTGCCAAAAATGAAGAGTTTACATTTCTGGGCACTTCAGCAATTCCTTAGGCCCTGTAAACTTGTAAATGCAGCCCTTATGGAGATAGATCTTAGGAGATTCCTGGACAGCGAGTTGTGGTGAGACTCTTGTCCCTGTCTTTGCCGGCTGAATGGGACAGATGTGTGACTGAAGCGGAGGAAAGGTGCACTAGATGCAAGGAGCTGGTACTGGGCTCCGTAGCGGACTCCAGGAGATGGTGCCTCCGATGAGGGCCTCGCCTTCCACACCGGTGGGGGACAGGGCCACTCCTTGGCCTGGCCAATATGCTGGGCAGCCTGCATGGCCCAGGGTGAGTCCTGTGTGGGCAGGGAGCCTCTGGCTGGAGAGGGGCTGCCCCCAAAAAAGAAGGAAGTGAAGACACCGAAGTACAGAGTCAAAGCCCAGGGCACGGAGTCTGCCCGGTGGAGCATGTGAGCGGGCAGCACAATTTTTCAGAAGTGACTCACAGTGCTGCTCCCTCATGGAGGATCGGTTTGATCTTGGGCCTTGGCCATGTGATTTCCCTAAGTGATCAACTTCCAGAACGATGACTTTGTCAGAGTCGGCCAATTTGTTCTCAGGTTTTAACGTTGACCGTAGGGTCTAGTGATTGGTTCTGGTAAGAGGAGTGTCCCTCTGGGGTCCCCCCACACAGCTCCTAGAGGACGGTGGCCCCTTCCATTTTAAGAGCCCTCTTTACAAAGTTTCTCCCAGTAGCAGAGATCCTCTTTAAGGTTTTCTGGTTCTCTAAATCACTAGTTTTTATAGTCTCTTTTGTGAAAATAAAATTCCCCCAAATCTCCCAAAAACACGGTCCTTTTGAGTTTAGCAGGCGGCCTGATGTCCAATGGGAGTTGCTGGAAATGGCGTCAGCAGGATTCACTTTTCTACTGCAGTCTTTACCTCTGTCCAGAGCACCTTCTGGCTCAATCTTGACCCTTGGGTAAAATGTGGATTGTGTCTGCAGTTTGATGTAGTTTCATTTTATACCTCTTTAAAGTTCCTTTCATACTAACTCACAATCCAAAGGGAATGATTCCTTTAGACCCTTTGTTCTGCTTTGGGGTTCAAAACAGTACAGCCAACACCATTGGTAGGTCACGTTCATGAACTCTTTCCTTATTTGTGTTTTTTGTTTGTTTGTTTGTTTGTTTTAGTGGCGAGAAAATCAACAGGAGAAACCTCTTACAAGATCACTTACTACTGTAATATAAAGAAAATAACTGCTAAATTAGAACATTGTGATGAAGAAATAATGGTTCGAGTCAAGCAGTTTGAATATTTTTTTAAGTTGCTGGTTAGCAAGGACTATGGATCAGTGTCATGAACAACCAAGTCATTTTTTTT